AGGTGCGTTCCAATAAGTCTTCCTACCAATATGAACATGTTGCGAAAACAAGGTTAAACAACCTCTATACCAAAAGATATTTCATAAATGGCGATACAAGCAAGAATAATAAGGTAAAATGCCGATATTGAAAAAATAGATATGAGTTTTGCGATAATTTATCTCTAATAATTTAAATAAAGTAGGCCAAGTGACCCGAGTAACGTAGGAATAAGAGCAGAATAATAGAAGACGATTGTATTTGAGAGCAAACTATCACTGATCACTACAAAAATTCATCTAAGAAATGTTAACTCTTATTAATAGTTATTCTTTAATTAATAACTTATTCAATTTGGTAGGCAACCACCACTATTTGTATTTAATAAAAATATCAAGATTAATAAGTACGAATCTGTGTAAAAAAGTAGCATATAAAGTAAAAAGGATATATAGGGACAGCTAGAAAAACTTAGATGAACCATGACTGAATAGCAAATTTCCAAATTAACAACCCCATATTAGAATATTTTACAAATGCCAAAATATATTAATTTTTCTGTGTTCAAACTCTTTTCATTAGGCATAGAGATGTTGATTTCCAATAGTTAAGGAAAGAAGAAAGGGCGAAAGCGAAAGAGGAAGAAAATGGAGTTAATGACGAACACAAGATATACAAGATAGAAAATCACTGTCAACAAAATTTTTCCAGGTGCATATATTGACTGACTATTGAGGTTTGTTTAAGACGCCTGAGAAGAAGAGAAAAGAGACTAAAGACTATGGCTTGTGTTGCCTGATAAGCTTGCTCTAAATGGCATGTCGTTTTTATCTCAATGATAGGGTACAGATAGCCCTGTGAGCACAAACCAAATTATTTGACCTCGATAATGGATATTTTTAGCCGCTGTGACCGTGCAATACATTGGCAGGCTTCATAAATACTTAGAGGGCTGAGAGGCTATAAGTGAAGTGAGATGCTACAAAGTTCTGCTGCGGAGGAAGCTTCGTTGATACTCACTCAGGGAATTCATTATTTGGCCATAATTAAAACTGAACAAAAGAAAAGTTTACTGTAAAAGTGAGTTATAACACTTCGTTATGCTGACCGTCTCGTGTAAGAGTTCTTAATGGCAAAATATGCAGGTTTTTCAAAAGCCTTATGTTAACAATAAGTCATTTTCTGTCATAGGGTGGACAAAATATGTCGTTGATTAATTAATTTTTTGTGTATGCTCAGCAGGTAGGGATAGGCCGCAGAGTTTTCTTGATTCGTAAAAGTAGCAAAGCACATTTATAAAGATAATTTAAAATGAAGAAAAATCCCTCTTATTTTTAGGTAGATGAAACCCACAGTAAATCACTGATAGATAAAAGATGATAAACTTCTCGGTTATTTAATGGGAATTTCGTTAAGGGAAGGAGAGTATATAATATAAAGTGTGCTGAATATCCTGAAGTTTGTTTATTGTCTGTACAACCAGACTTCCCATGGGCATTATACATACAAATGTGGCAATTAATCATGACATAAACATTAACAGGTTAAAATGTCAAAATAAGAGGCGTTTATGCTAATAACAAAAGGAACCTCAAGGTACCTTTTAAAACAATCCGTTCATCGAAAATGCTGAGGAATTGGCAAAGCTTGGCCAAGTTGTGCTAATTAGAAAAAAACGGTTAGTATCGACAAATCACTAACATAATGAGTTTACTATCAAGCCATGTTTGCAATGTAATACATTAGGCCTAGGTTCAGGTGACTTAGAGGGTAATGCATTTGCTTCTTTACTTGCTAGTCCAGAATTTGGATCCCATTGGAGATATTTAGGAGTTCGAAGCTGCAGTAAAGTCTTATTGTCATTAAGGCTTATCTAAATGCGGGAAAAATTATAATTAAAGGCAAATTACTAGTAGTCTCGAAAACCTACTCACTTACGAATAAAAAAATTAAATACGAAGGTAAACTGGGTTTCGAATAATCTTCTGAGATAACATTGTTGAAGGGACTTGCATTTCGTATGAAAGTGCATGATGATCTCACTAGAAGAGGACGGATGAATCCTGTTGTACTGCAGCCGTTTGGCTTTTATGCGACGTTCAGGTTGACACAGTCAACGAGACCTCCTCCCTCGTTTCGGGTGAAAACAGGCTGAGCTTTCGTCCATCATATGATGGACATCATCAGAGCTGAATCTCATTCCTGTAAAAGTCTCACATTAACACTAGTGTTAAACATCGTATAAAAGCCAAACGGCTGCAGTACAACATAATTCATCTGTCCTCTTCTGGTGAGATCGACATACGAATATCTTCTTCATACCCTTTCATACGAAATGAAAATCCCTCCAACAAAAAAAAGAAAGCATTCCCTTAGCTTCGTCATGAGAAAAAAAGATTTTCGAGTGTACGTCATCGGCATTTCCTCTATACTTGTGAGATAAGAAAGGTATGGGTTGTCTGGAAAGTCACGTATGCCCTGTGGCACACTGACACCCGTGGCCTGTTGGCACAATAATAACGTTTCGAAAATATACGTCTCATTACCTGGGTTCGATTTCCTGGATCCATTTTATTCTGGATAAGAATACCCTTTGGGAGGCAAAGAAAAATAAAATTCGACGACTCATGTCAATGTGGGAAACCTCAACTAACAGGCTATCCACTTATGCGATCTATAATGACAAGAGCCCTTATTCAACACAAAAATTAGTGAACAATATTGAAACTAGGTTTATTAGGGGAATGAGTTTTCAGCTAGCGATTAAACTTGGTCGTTTTGTTATAGTTTAAGAATCACTCAATTGTGATGGTGTCTTTCACAAAGAATACGAAATCCCAGCACGGATTCGTCGGGGTAGAGGAAAAATGTACCTAGGCTTTCAATGCTTCAATCAGCAGTGAAAGCTACCAGGAAATTTTACCCCAATTTCTAAATACATAAACCGAAATGTTTTCCACCAGAAGTGTAACACAGCAAAAAGTTTAAATACACACATTTTTATGTTATTTCTTTTCATTTAGATGTTCTAACTGGGCTTTGTTCTCCAACTTATACACTATATACTTACTAAAAGGTTATGAATGGTATCCTTTTTTGAAAATTTTGATAAACAAAAATGAAGGCTATGCGTATAAAAATAAAAGTTTGCTATTCCCTAAATTCCGATAGGCCATATACTCAAGCTTACTATGTAATTATAGGATTTAAGAATAAATATAAAATAAATATTAACCATTTTTTAAGATCAATTTTGTTTTATCGTCAATGGTATTTTGGTGGAAGGGTCAGTGAGGATATCTATCATAAATAACGTGCTTTGTTATTAATGAATAGCACAGATTACCGGATCTCGGCTATCAGTCGACCAGCATCAGTGTTGTACCCCCTATACTGATAGCGCTTCAGAAGCCGCAGATAGGGTACAAGGCCAGGCCGAATCACCTCAACCGTATTATCGGCAGCTACTACTCCGTGAGTTCGATTGAGACCAGCACTCCAACCGCCTCGAGTGGAGGACTCCTTGTATGATAGTATAGGCTTCAGAAGACGAGTTAGTTCTGCGCTATCGACATTAAGGCCAAACTCACGTAGCACCTTGATGCAGTCTGTTTCGTAGATGCGATTGTTGCCCTCGATATCCATACGCTTAAAGGCGATTTGCACATATTGGAATGGTTCTTCAAACTGGTAGGTGCATAGAAAAAGCAGTTACGACACAAACTAAGGTTACATATAAAAGGCGTCACGATGAGTTGCAGCGTCATGTAGGTCTCAAAAATAAAGGCTATCATGAAATAAACCACCAATTGATCTTTATTATTTAATTCCACACGATGGATTTAAGCACCAGTCCTAAAAAGTATTACTTTTTGATGACTCTAACAAAAGGCCAGTCGCTAAAAACCGAGGTAACCTAAGTCAAGTATGAATCCTTAGCAGGCATACAACTTCCGTGCATGTTTGAAGGATAAAGTCCTAAAAATGCAACGATTACTGGAAAACTTACACACAAATTAGCGTCCTTTCAGGAATACTATGGTGGCAAGGAAAAACAAAATAGAGTGTATGACAGATAGAGATCAATAATACACTATTAATACAGGAAACTCAAGAAAATATGACATCTAAACCCAGTCAAGCAGTATTTATGAATTTTTATCACAGGCCATTTACCGGTCATTTATTACCGTCGGTTTGAATTTTCATATTCTCGTAAAGACTGACTAACTTATTCTGAAAACTCACGATAACATGGCCTTGCAAATAATAAAACAATTTTTTTGTATATAAGTAGAGTTTCGATCAATCTCATCTATATTTTACTCAAGCGACAATTTATCATACAATAGGCCACACAGGAAAAAAACTTGAGATGGAACAAAATCATCTGTTGGCATAAATTGCAAGACTAAACTCCCAAGAAATTTGCTAAAATATTTGTTAAAATAACGTTTAAAAAACGCTACGTGCGGGCACATAATCGAATAAGTAATAATCAGAATTAAAGACTTATGTGAACCTGAATTGATTCCCCGTTCAGAATAGATAGAGCTTTGACCTATCCTCGTGATTAGAGATTATAACCAACATTATAAGGAGCTAATAATTGATCTCCAACAATGGGAAAAATAAAGCAAATATAGCTAAAGGGGTTATTTACTTGACCTCTATTATATATATATCTCCGCTGGGATCACAGGGCGGTGCTCCGAGGACCAATTCGCAAAAATCTACAGTCCCAGCTTCGAGGAAATCCCACTTCAGCCTCCGATGAGGCCAACTTAAGAATCCCCTCCCACTCGCCTCTTTAAAAGGAATGAAAAGTACTCCAATATCAATCTATTAAGGGATTCTTCTAAACTCAAGATTACAGCATTGCCATTGCTCATGTAAGAATAAAATGCACATCGACGCATAGGCACTAATAGTAGTTGAAAGGATGGTAATAAGATTTCTGAACACGAAAGATATAACCATGGTTAAGGATCCCGAAGCATGAGACAATTAGCAATATGTAAATATCGCGATAAGAAAAGGAACCAATAAAAAGATATAAATTATAGCATGAAAACACTTAAGATGAGGTAATAGATTTAATAGAAAGGTTGGCAAATAATATACGAATTATGAGATCTTAAGTGCCGAAAGGCAAAAATGTGTATAGAAGAGCGAAATATATTAAGGAGGCAGATATACTCACAATGTAATATAAACAATCCAGGACCGAGGTGAATTTTGGTCTCAGTTCTCGCAGTCTAAAGAGGCCTTCCTTTAACCGAGTACCTAAGCCGAAATCAGGCCTATTTGCACCACCAGGGCCTTGGGGCTGCCACTTAGTCGGATGGATGATGGGAAAAGAAACTTCACCTGCTTGTGCCAACATAGATGTACGTCCCTCGTCTAGGGTCCTGTCATCGTCAATCGTTTGCTGCTTAAACTGCGGACGGTCGTAGGTGGGCTGTTCATATATATAGAGCGAGTATAAATGGCACATTTAACCCTAACTGACAGAATAAATTATACATAATATAAACA